GCTGGTTCCACTGATGAAAACATGAGCTTATTTACTCCTCCTAAACAATTTCTGCATTTCCAAGGAACCCCTGAGTTCCTACTAAGAACTAGACAGTTAGGGGAAGCCCACGGTCTTTACTCCATTCCTGCTTTATCCTTTCATTTCTCCATTGAAGGCAAGTAGGAGTTCACCACAGACTTCTCCTTTCTCATTCCTACCAACCTTATCTTTATCTTCAGGATCCTCTTCTTCGACCAGTGGCAGTGAGTAAAAACTTTCAGCCCAACTTTCTGCCTGCCCTGATCTCCCCATCTCTCCAGAAGCACCCTAAACTGTTCCATGTTTTAAATACTTTTCATATAAACACATGTAGTGGTGAGGAAATATTAGTAAACAGTGAATCACAACTAGAGTACTTCAATTCTAAATAAGTACTTGTTAGGTTCCCTCCTGCCTTGCACCTAATCCCCACCCCAAATTCTACTCTTCATTTAAGTCTAAAGGATCCAGCTCTGCTTTCAGGTAACCTCTTTTCTTTTCTTTTTTTTTCCAGCCTCTTTGAAAGCTCCCTTGGGAGTTTCAAGTCATCCTTTCCAGCCACTATTCTTTATTCCTAAAGGGTTGAGTTAGCAAGCCCTCTACCCTGTTTGAGAATGGTATTCAAGTTACCCCAGACCCAGGAGGATCTTTTTACATCTGAAGGAAGCTCTAAAGTGTTGTCTCTAACTTCAAGGTCCAGCTACCTGGGTTTGCCTTCTACTTTCCTAGGAAAAGTTATTTGAGGTCACTCCCTAACTGTCTAGGTTTGAACCCATGTTGAGCAGAGATCTTGGTTGAGAGGTAAGTTTTACAATGGTGACAGTGGAGTAAGATGTGTTAGGTAAAGGGTGGGTGGCTCAATATCTTTTAAAAAGGCTCGTCTTTCACTGTTAAATTTATATTGGGAACATTTTAAAAAACTTTTTATAGTGTAAATTGCAGAGAATAAAAATGCTAAAACTGGCAGTTGTGCAGTCACTGAAAACATAGTGCTTCTCTATGGTGGGATGGGGTGGGAAGGGAATTCTAGGAATCTCCCGGAGATAGGAGATTTGGATATGTACCCAAAAAAGACATGCATTTTTAAAATAGTTGATAAATGATGTGGGATTTTTGAACAAAGCTTTAATAAAACTCAAATTGTTTATTGTTCCAGATTCTCAAAGGATTTCAAATATCGTAACCTACAATTTTTTTCACCCAGAAAAAAGTCAGCTAAAATATACAAAGTTTCTAATTTGCTTTCAATTTTTCTCTGAAATGTTGTATGTTTGTTTTGTTTTTAAGCTACAAATTTGGAAATAGTATATGAGACATATTTAACTCTTAGAGATGTTTGACAAATAATAAACTAACATTTATAATGCTCCCTGAACTATTTGGATGAAATATAGTTTACATCAGTGATTGTGTCTATACATGCACAACGTTATAAGGAAAAAATTATACTAACTCATTGAATAGTGAAAGTTTGTTTCAGGAAACATAAATCACAAGAGATTCTGAAGACTTCAAGGGGTTTCAGAAAGGATTTACAATAGAGTTGGGTCCTGAAACTCTAAATTTGAAGTTGTCACTCATTCTTCAACAGTATTGTGGTGATCTATAAGATGGTACTATGGTGGTGAAATTTAACAGTAACAAATTGGTTTGCTTTTAAAAAATTATCAAAAGTATGTTACTCTATCAAGCCAATTCTTGTGCTAAATTCATCTTAGCTTCATAGCATCAACAATCTGAATTCAAATGGATTTCACAAATAATCCCTTTTAATAAGTACCATGATTCTTTGAAGTGTACAAAAAAAGATACATGGAGAGTTCAACCCAGAAAAAAAGCTGGAAATAACATAGCCAGTAATTGGTAAAATACTGTTGGTCTTAAATCTGTGCTTCCATCTCCCTCAAGATAGAGCAGAAAAATGGCTATTGGCTTGTTGGAAAAGCCATGACATATTATTTCTGTTTTTCAAGCAAAAATGCATCATGACTTTTCCAACAACCCAGTATTTTCTATAACCTGAATCCAAAACCACTTTAAGTACTAAGGTAGTTATTTCTTTATAGACTCTACAATCAGCTTACACTGCCACCTGTGATCCATCTATCCATCTATTTTATCATCTCTAAGTACGAAGTTAGTTATAGAAATAATTATAGAGAGATCATTTTTTATTAAAAGCTGATGAGTAGTAATTCATCTAAATATGCTGGGATTCAAATGAATTTATAAATCAAATTAGCTACACCTATTTCTATGAATGTATGTATATATCGATCTAGAAGTTGAACAGTGTCCTTTTTTTTTTGTATTTTAACTCCTTTTTATTTATTTATTTATTTTTATTACAAAAGTTTATTTTTACATCATTTTGTACATTTTTTTTTCATCTCAATTGTAATCCCCGCGGGTTTCCCATCACCAAGTCACCCGTGTGCCATCACCATAATCCCATGCATCCCCCCCCCCCGTTTTTGATCCATTCCCCACTCTACCCCCACAAAATGTCTCTGGTATATGGTTGTTCACTATTTTTGTTATTTTCTCGCCTGGTCCATTATACTCCTGCTATGAGTGAAACCATCCGGTATTTTTCTTTCCCTTTCTGGCTTATGTCACTAAGCATGATCTTTTCTAGCTCCATCCAAGTTGCTGCAAAAGACATGTGTTTCTCTTTTTTGGTTGCTGAGTAATATTCCATTGTATATATGTACCACATCTTTTTTATCCAGTCATCTACTTTTGGGCCTTTGGGCTGCTTCCATGTTTTTCCAATTGTAAATAAAGCAGCAATAAACATGGGGGTACAGGTATCTTTTTCAATCAGTGTTTTTGTGTCTTTTGGGTAGATACCTAGGAGTGGGATTGTTGGGTTGAACGGTGTCCTTTTGCATTTCCCCACCCCTTCCTTGCTATGGGAGGTTCTCTGTATTTTGCTATATCTGTTTCCTCGCCTATCAAAATGGAAGCTACTTCAGAGGATAGGTGGAAGAATTAAGTGAGATCCTAGGACAATGAAAGTCTTGTGTTTGCATGTCATAAGGGGTCAAAGTAAAATTTTCATGGTTAATATGCTTGACCATCTGTGGTTGAGGTTTGGAAATATATCCACCAAAACTCATATTTTTTGTTGCTTATTTTTCCAATTGCATTTTACTCGGCCAACAATGTATTAGTCATCGAAATTGTGCTATATTTGAGTCCTGGGGGGGGGTGGGGGGCTAGCGGAGAATGCCTCCAATTGTTGAAGTCACTTAGTTTCTTTATGCAGAAAGAAGAGGAAAATAATAATGTCTTCAATAAATTGTTTTTGACTTTTTGGTGATTGCTTCATGGACAGAACTCACTTTGGAGGAGCTGGTGAGAACAATGGTGCTCAGACAGTACACAATGGAGACAGCAAGTCAAAGACAAGAAAATCCTGAACTCTGCTCCCTGGGTCCTTACATGGTCAAATGACTATTTTCCTAAAATTGCTTTAAGAATGTTTTGTAACAGCAGCTTGAACAAACTGGCCTCACATGCCACTGTGATTTAATGTCTGTTTTTGCTACTGAATCAGCAGTGTTTGGCCAGCTTAGCTGCCTTCACATTTTTCGTTGTGTTTATTCTTAACCTTAGCAACTAGCCAAACACTGAGTGGAATATCAATATTTAAGAGTGAAATGTACTACTAGTTTACAGAATACATGTACACAGCATTTGTAGAGCTCATATTTTGTACTTCTTTTTTTACTTAAGATATTTTGAGTAATAGAAATTTTGTTTTTCCCTTTACAATTCACAATACTTTCAAATACTGCTAAAAATATGTCTGTCTTTAGCTCACGTAACAGTTTAATATGTGGAAGTATTGAATAAAATACAAATAAAAAATAGAATAATTTTACCAAAGTACCTAAAGCAACAAATATATGAACAGGCCAGCTGGTTTTCTTAAGGAGTGACAAAATTTAAGTTCCTCCCCCCCCCCATACCATGTAGTTTTCTTTTGATGAAATAACTGAAAGGTGTTTCTATGCACAAAAATATTTCAAGTTACAAAGGTATTTTAAGTTGCAAAGAATGATTCCTACTAAAAACACATTTTAAGCAAAAGGATTTAATTTGATGTCATTTAAAGCATCATGAAGTTGTGCCTTCATAACAACAGAATTCTTATTTTTGTTTTACTTTGGAAAAGAACCTGAACGTATTTCCGATTTTGCACATAGAAAAACATTTTGTTTTGGTGGGGGAGGGGGGAGCACACGTAATTTCGAACATTGAATGGCCCTAGTACTATTAAAATATTTTTGCATTTGCTCTGGGTTCTGAACCTTTTAAGTGTGCATCGTTGTTTAGAGATCATTATTTATGGCCGTACTTTACAGATTAAGATCCGGAGGCCCGGAGAGCGTGAACAACCTGTTCAAGGCGCTTCTCCATCTCACCATTGCCTCAGCTACACCCTGTAGGCCATTCTCTTTTTACACCCCTATAGCATAATTTCGAGGGGCTTTTTGAAAGAAACAAGACTGGAAAATCGCCGGGTTTATAATCCCCTTTCGCTCCCTTCCTAACAGTCTCCCCTTTTCCGTCTGCAGAGCCCGGCCGCCCAGGCGCAGAGCAGGCACGACTCCCCCACACGTCGCGCCGCCCTGGCCCGGCCAGGCGACGCCCCGGCTCGGGGCCGCGTG